CCTAAACCCTAAAACCCTAAACCCTAAACCACTTTAGGTTCAGATGGCTTTCTACACGGTTTACTGCGGCTTACTCGGCTCGCAGGGTTCGTGGCAGGGGGGTCGAGGATGGGACTGACACCAGGCAAGGCTCCAGGGATGGTGGCTCCGAAGCCCAATAAGCGGATCGATATCATATTAATCCGGCTCTTTCCTTGACTTCAGGGTTTCGGGAACCTAGGCTTCTAGGAGAGAGGCTGACCAAGTTCTCAGGTGAGGTGATTGCTGGGCATCTCCTTAACAAAGTCTTATGATGCTTCGAGGTCGAAGCAGGAGTGGGTGCCCACAACCTGTCATGAACAACAAGTGCGGGCTGTGTATTGTTGTTGCCAAGCCACTGGTTACTATATAACTAACGATCACTCAGAAGGGCGAGGCAGGGCTAGGGATGCAATGGCTATAGTTCTCCGGAGATGACCTGGGAAACCGTAAGCCGTAATCTTGGCCAGACCATGCATAGGTGGTCTGGGGTTGTAAAGCAATGAGCACAAGTCTCCGGTGCTTCTGCGCAGGCAACCATTGCAAGTGACGGCCTCAGGGTTCATTGAGGCTTATTGTTGTTATTATTAGTATTCGCATCACTCTCTCTATATATATATATATATATATATCTATTATCATCAGTGTTATTATGATCCTCTAGCTTGCGGCGGCCATTGTTGCTGCAACTGCCAGCATGATTCTTACTATTGTTACTTGTATTTTGGTGTCGAGCTTCAGGGCCTTGGAGACGTCGGATTCTACTTTGGGTTTGGGCTTCTTCTGTACTCTCCTCACATTGGGGGGACGTTCACTTTCAATTCCGATCCTAAGCGGGATGAGGAGCAGCTTCACAGTCTGGATGAGTGACGCGGGCCTGCGTGAGCAGCACCCATTTTGGCTTCCAGAAGCTTGGTCACGGTTGCTTGAATCACGAAAGCACAACCCTCGAAGTTTTGCCATCTCATTCCTTCTGGTGAGTAAAGGAGTTTTTGCCCAGCCTCTTGTCATCGCTTCGACTTGCTAAGATACCGCAGCCCGGGCCCAAACCTTATCAGTCAGTCAAGCCCTGGCTCTCGGAACTCCTACTCCCACTACGACCCCGACGACGACGACGACGACTACTGCTACTACTTCTTCTTCTACTATGACTGCGGGTACGACTGCCCGCGATCGGTTTTGTGTACTACGACTACAACGAGGATGCCGACGAATTCTAGCGCTACTACGTTTACAGCTGCCGCTGCTGGTTCTGCTGCGACTGCTACTGCTGCTCGCGGATGCTGTCAGATCACAAACTGCAGAGTTCTTAATAATTTGAAAATGGTGTTGGGGCCGATTATGCCATATTTGCAATATGGGGGTTTCCAAAAATAGGGGACCCGAATATGGTACCCTGAATAATAGGTCCCTTATTATAAGGACCCCAAAATAAGGTACCCCTTCTTTTCGGAAACTCCCAAATTGCAGAGGTGAAGCTCAAGGCTTTGACCATCGTCGGCGACCCAAAGCTCCGTGTGAGTCCGTGAGTCACAACTAGCAGGTATCGGGAAGGTCCCGGCCCGATATGCCTCACAACATCTACGGTCCCCACGATCGTTCTTCTGAGGAATATCTCTGAATTAGAGGAGTTGAGTCTCGGAATCTTGCCATTTCGCCAAAGTCCTGCCGCAGATTCAGACACTCAGACAACCCCTGGAACCCAGAACCTGACACAAAACCCCATGCCAGACCTAATATGGGGGTCTAAATCGGGTTCCGTACTATGAATATAGACCCCAAAACTCCCAAAACCGTATTGTACTTATTAAGGCCCTACATTAGTCTGCAGGCTCACGAGATGCTGTACAACCAGCAAGTGGCGATAAACTCAGACGGCTTTCGCTTCGGTCCCATGCGAAAGTGGTTCAGGGTTTTAGATTTCTAGGGTTTAGGATAGAACAGCGTCAGAGCAGAAGCAGTGTCTAAGGGCATTGAGGACAGGTCTACAGCGCAGCCTGCCCACCCAAGTGTTGCAAGAGAAGCGCGCTTGTGCGAAATGTCCCAACAGCTCCCAAAGAGAGGTGGAAGTCTTCGCCGAAGCCGAAGGCTTGCGTGAAGCCTTGGAGGCATCAGAGAAAGTTTGAAAGAGCCCGATAGGCTGCATGCCTTAAGCTTAGAGGCTGGGCTTTTCGACCTTCCCTGACGGAGAAGTTGGAAGAGTATTCGGATGTTTCGAGAAGAAGGCCAAAGATTCTGATCAGCCGCTGGTTCTCAGCCCATCCCTCCGTGACATGCAACATGACCCCCCGGGCTTCCGGAGGAGGAGGAGAGAGACAGGTGACTTATCCGGATTTCATATCCTGGCTTAGTTACACCTACAACCAAACTTGAAAGAACACTGAACCCTAATCCCATAGAGCCACCCCTACAACCGAAACCCTGAACCACAAGTATTAGCAACCCCGCTTGGGCTTGTGAGGCCCTCCGTCAAGTGCGCGGGAACGAGCTCGGGGCGGCGATGGACGAGAACGCCCGGGCCCCCACTGAGAAAGTACGGGATTCACATTGACATCGGATACTATATCATGTGGCTAACATAAGAGTACCATATACAGGTACGGTACTTTCCCCATATCAGCAAGAGTGGGCCTTCAGCAAGACTCTGCCACCGATACTAGCCCCGCGAACTTGTTAAATTTCTTAACGACATGAGCACCAAGCATAACGAGGTGCCTCATCACGACTGACTGGGATGCCAAGGGTCTCGTACTTCTTTGAGGAGCATACAGCATGCTTTCAGAGGTGGCAGAGTCTGTGCTTGGAGCCTTGACAGGAGGAATTTCGAAAGGGCTGCTCGTAGCCAATCTCCACGAGAGGCATCAAAATCTCGCATGGGTGCAAAACCTCAAGCCTGTTTTCTTCAAGAGGTTGGTATGGTTCTGCACTACAGGATCCCGTGTGCTGTGAGCACAAACACTCGACATGAACAGAATCTATCTTGTGTTGTGTCTGTTGTGTCATTTATCCGCAGCAAAGCGCACACCTCAGCCTCCCCGCGGAGCCTGAGGTCCGAATGCTCGCGACTGAGATCGTCGGCCGCTGTTTCGAGGGCAAAAGCAGCTCCAATGGCTGGAGCTCTTTTGCTAAGGCGCCAGCTATAGTAGGTTGTAGCTTTCAGGGTTGAGTCTGCGCATGTATCTATCTATCTACCTATCTACCTATCTACCTATGTACCTACCTACCTACCTACCTATCTATCCATCTATCCATCTATCTATCTATCTATCTATCTATCTATCTATCTATGTAACTATCTATTATCTGTCATCTATCTAACGATCTATCTGCTATCTATCAATCTTACTATCTATCTGTCTACCTATCTATCTATCTGTCTGTCTATCTGTCTATCTATCTATCTACCTACCTCTCTATCTATCAGTTGTCTATCCATCTACCTATCTATCTGTCTGTCTGTCTGTCTGTCGATGAATCTATCTATCTATCTATCTGTCTGTCTGTCTTTCTTCCTAATTTTCTATCTATCTATCACCTATCTATCTATCTTTCTTTCTATCCTTCTTTGTATTTATCTATCCATGTATCTATCTATCTATCTATCTATCCATCTATCTATCTGACTGTCGATCTATCTATCCTTTTTCTACCTATGTATCGCTTATCTGTTTATCTTTCTATTTATCTATCCATCTGTTTACTTATTATCTATCTATCTATCTATCTGTCTGCCTGTCTGTCTGTCTGTCTGTCGACCTATCTATCTATCTGTCTGTCTGTCTGTCTGTCTGTCTGTCTGTCTGTGTATCTGTCTATGTTTCTTTGTACTTATGATTTATGTATCTATGCATCGATGTGTTTTGTGTGTGTGTATGTACGTATGTATGTGTGTGTATACATATGGTGTGTGTGTATATATGTATGCGTGCATGTATGCCTGTGTGTGTGTGTGTGCAGGTATGCCTGCATGCATGTACTGTTTATGCACGCATGCACGCATGTATGTGCGCGTGTGCGCCCGCATGTATGCTGCATGCATGCATGCGTGCATGCGTGCATGCATGCGTGCATGCGTG